AATAACAAACAACAAAACATATTCCAGGCAGGAGCTCTGGTAGCTTAGTGCCTAAGGCACTTGACTGCTAACCAGAAGGCTGGTGGTTCAAACCCACCAGCCATTCCTCGGAAGGAAGATGGGGCAATCTACTTCCCTAGTGATACTGCCTTGGAAACCCAAGGAGGGGTCGCTATGAGTCGGGTTCGACTCCACGGCACATAACAACAACAACAACAACAACAACATATTCCAGGCACTATGGTAGGTGTTTTACATCTATCACTATCTCATTCTAAGACCAGAGTTATTTTTCTCACTTTGCGAATGCAGAAAGTAATGCCCAGAGAAAAAGAGTAAGTTGCCCTAAGTTGAAATTTTATCCAAGTTTGACTGAATCTAGGCTACCGTGCACATTAGTGATGGGCACACAAGGTTTCTTTATTAGCTGTATCTGATCCTGGCATGAAAATCTTTGAAACAAAAGGTGATAGCTATCAGTAGATATCATTTTTGGGGTGCCTTCTGTTTGCCAAAGGAGCTCTGGTGGCATAGTGCATAAGGCATTTGGCTGCTGACCAGAAGGTTAGCGGTTCAAACCTACCAGCTGCTCTACAGAAGAAAGATGAGGCAATCTACTCCCTTAAAGATTTACTGCCTTGGAAACCCAGTGGGGGTCGCTGAGGCAGAATTGACTCAACAGCAGTGGGTTTGGTTTGTGGTTTGGTCTGTCTACCAAAGGGTTCTGGTGGTGCAGTGCCTAAGGCATTTGACTGCTAACCAGATGGTACATTGTGGGTTCAATCTAACCAGCTGTTTAGTGGAAGGAAGATGAGGCATCTACTTCCTTAACGATTTACCCCTTGGAAACCCAGTGGGGGTCACTGTGAGTCAGAATCGACTTGATGGCAGTGAGTTTGTTTTTTTTCTGTCTACCAGGCACTGTGCCAAGTGTTTCATGTGCATAATTTCATTTGTTTCTCACAACTCTAAGAAATAAGTGTTATTGTCCTCATTTTATAGTTGAAGATATCAAGATACAGGGGCATTTAGTTAGGTGAGATTGGATTCCAAGTCTTCATGGCTGCAAAACCTATCCTCTTAATCACTTCTTTTATATGTAATCAGAGTTTACGTTTTATTTATTTATAAAACGTTTTAGATGAGGTGTGGGACTGGCTTTGAAAGAGAGCAGTCTCCAGGTATTTGGTGCTAATGATTCTTCATTTTAAACTAATAGCCAGATTCCTGGCAGAAGCTATTAATACTACATTTGTCAGTTAGCTCAGACTTTGTTCCACCCTAGAGGTTATGTCTTTCCATGGTCAAGTCCTCAGAAACATAATGTATAACTTGTGTAAACGCAGAGAGGAGTGGCATTTTCCAAATATTTAGTTCTGTAACATGGAAGACCTCAAACCTCAACCATGCTGCAGACTCACATTAAAGTAAAGTACATTCTAATTGGTAATCAGTGCACAAGGAACCAAAGAAAATTTTAATTAAATGCTGTCGTGTGAATTTTCCAGTCATTTTATGGTTGTTGAAATGGTTTTCTTATGTAGTTTAAAGTCCTCTTCCAGTACTCTGTGCTCCCTCTTTAACCTGAAGACTTTGGGCCTTTTTTCATATAAAGGTTTAATTATTGTCAGTAAGGTTTAGGCTGCTGCAGCATTCTCTTAACTCTGTTCCTTGTGTTGTAAGAAGCATTTTGATGTAGTGGGAAGAGTATGGACTTTGGGGTCTGACAGACCACAAGCAAGTTCCTTAAATCTCTCAGAGCCTCAGATTCATTATCCCATAAAATAGAGATAAAATACTACTTCCTTGTAGGATGTTGGGAGGATTGTTGTTCGATGCCATCAAGGTGGCCCCTGACTCGTGGTGAGCCCATGCAGGATGGCATGAAACGCTGCCCTGTCCTGCGCCATGCCCGTGCTTGGTTGCAGAGCAGACCATTGTGATCTCCAGGTTTTCATTGGCTGAGTTCTCAGAAGCAGACCCCAGACCGTTCTTTCCAGTCTGTCTTAGTCAAAGCACCACTGAAACCTGTTCAGCATCACAGCAGCACTGGGATGTGGAGTAGAGTCCAGGTCTCCTGCACGGAGGGCAAGTTTTCTTCCACAGAACCACTATCGAAAGACAACGCATTTAAGTTTCCTAGCACAGAGATCGGGAGCTCTGGTAGCATAGTGGCTAAGGCACTTGACTGCTGACCAGAAGGCTGGCGGTTCAAACCCACCAGCCACTCCTCAGAAGGAAGATGGGGCAATCTACTTCTGTAGTGATACTGCCTCGGAAACCCAAGGAGGGGTCTCTATGAGTCGGGTCCGACTCAACGGCACATAACAACAACAACAACAACAGCACAGAGATCAGATTATAATATTACTTGATAATCAGTAGCTATTATTTTCTGGAGCTGTAATAGGGTCACTTTTACTTGGTTCTCTTTTTTGTCTTATTCTTTTAGTGGACATTCACAAAGATTGTCTTCGGTCATGGCCTTGGGATTGAGGTGCTTTCGCTTGGCCCACTCTGCCTTTTGCAGCTCTCTTGCATCCCTGACCAGACCTGTTTCAGAAGTTACACCGAAGACAGTGAGTGGAAGACAGCGTGACCGCAGGCAATACATGGCCTATGCAGCTTTACCAGTCCGCCATTTTGCTACCAAGAAAGCCAAAGGTAGAGACATAGGACCTTTCCCTGTCTTATTACCTTTATTATATTTAGCTTTTGAATTACCATAGCCATAAGATATCCTGGAGATGTACTAAATTTCTCCTCTTTCACGTATGAGGAAACGGTGCCTCAGATACTCAGTTGACTACCTTAAAATGTCAAAATTGCAGAGGTGATAATAGAACATAGGACCTATTTTCCCATTACCACTCTGCCACCTTATTTGCTCTTTTAGTAGCTCAGAAAATGTGTAATTTTCTTTTAGTAAATTAGAATAATTTAGAATTAGAGGTATTTAGAATTAGAGTTATAAATACCAAGCAATCCAGATCAACACGTTTTATCAGAATATCTATGTTGCAAGTAAAATTAAAACCAGAAGGTTGCTGGGTAAGGAGGTATTAGAGCTATGGATTTAGATGGATGATCTTAATGACTTGTGTCATCCAAGAATGAGACTTTGATGTACCGCAGGTTTCAGCTTAAATGTCACTTCCTCAGGGAAGCCTTCTCTGACCTCTTAGACTAACTAGGTCAGGTCCCCTGTCACATGCCCTTGTGCACACTGTGTTTTTAGCACAGTGCTGTTTAATTAATTAATAATTAATTACTTGTAAGATTGATTGTTGTTTACTATCTATCTTCTCTATTGGACCCTATGAAGATAGGGTTATTTCTTTCTCTAATAAGCACATAGGGTCTAACACATATATATATACAAAAATTTTGTTGAATGAATGACAGAAAATTGTCAGACAGACTGGTTATTTGCAGAGGTGGGTCAGGGAGTCCACTCCCAAGAATGATGTTAGAAATACGCTGTTGAATATTTTCCCACTGCCTCTCCTTTTCTGGTTTCATGTAAACCTTCCCCTTTCTGTTAATAGGAAAATTAACAAATTGCTGAAAGAGTATTCATGCTTTTAAGATTTATGTTCTGTTAATAATGATAACTTTTGATCTATGTGTTACATTTTAAAGAAACTTCACAAACATTTACTAATTGGATCCTTAAAATTATCAAAGAAAAGAATTCTAATTATCCAGTAAAGCATAGATCTCCCCATTTTGTAAATGATGAAACAGGTATGTTTCCAAGAAATTTGCCTGTGGTTGGTCATGTCTAGTTAGTGGTGGAACTGGAAGGCTCAAACTTCTAATGCCCACAGTATGGGAATCTTGTAGTACATTAGGCATTAACCAGTGTGTAGGCAGCATCTTTTCATATTCTATTGGCTATTTGGTCTTTCTCTTTGATTGCCCTTTAAAAAAGTTGGTTGATTTTTTTTTTTTCCTTTAGATTTACTGGATTCTTTCTATTGTATGGATGCTAATTCTTTGTTGATTATATGTGTTACAGTTATCTTCTTTTTACCTTATTTATGCTATCTTTTATTGATTGAGCATAAGTTTTTAAAATAGTAATATCTTTCTGTCTTTTCTTTATGGTTTGTACTTTTGTGTCTTCTTTAAGAAATCCTTTCCTATCCCAAGGTCTTAAACTATTCTTCTGTATTCTAAACATTTTAAAGTTCTTTGCCTTTCACATTTGGGTTTTCAATCCATATGGAATTTATTTCTGAATGTGGTGTAGGATAGGGAATATAATTTTAAGTTTCTTTTCTATCCAGGTGGTAAGTCGTGTCAATACCACATACTGAATAGACCATCCATTATTCCCATATTTGTAATGGCCCTTTGTTGTATGTCAGGTATGATTGTGGATTGATCACTTTCAACTTTTAATTCTGTTAATTTTGAGGCTATACTATTGGATATATTTAAGCTCAGAGTTGTATCTTTTTGGTGAGTTATTTCTGTTACCATTATGAAATAGCCCTTATTTCTAATAACGCTTTCAATCTTCAAATTTATTTTGCTTGATATTTTTCTTTTGGTTAATTTTAGATACAGTTATCACTTTTCCACTCTGTATGTTCAGCTTTGTGTGATCTTACATTTTTGGAAAACTTGTTATAAATTGTTTATGGCTGGATTAAAAAATAAAACTCACTGAGAATCACTTAACTTAATTAGTAATTTTGGTCCATGTATATTTATTGTGATAGCTGAGCATTTGTATTTCTGTCATTTTATTTTGTGCCTTATCATGGATTTTCTTTATTTTTCATCTTTCCTTCTTAGTATTGGATTAATCAAATTTCTTTATTCTGCCTTTTTATCTCTTCGATTTGGAAGTTATATATTCTATTTTTTATTGTTTTGGTGGTTACCCTTAATTTCTTTAACTTTTTATAGAAATAAGAAAAAGACTTGGGACTGCAGAATGGTACAGCCATTTTGGAACACAGTCTGGCAGCTTCTTACAAAGCTAAACATAAACTTGCCATGTAATCCAGCAGTTGTGCTCCTAAGTATTTGCTCAAATGAGTTGAAAACTTATCTCTCCTTAGAAATCTGCACACAAATGTTTATTGCAACTTTTTTCATAATTGTCAAAAATCAGAATCAACTAAGATGTCTACAATTAGTACCACAAATTGTGGTACATTCATAGAATGGAGTATTATTCAGCAATAAGAATAAATGAACTATCAACCTATGAGAAGACATGTTGTTGTTATGTGCTGTCAAGTTGGCCCCGGCTCATAGTGACCCCTCCTTAGGTTTCCGAGGCAGTATCACTATGGAAGTAGATTGCCCAACCTTCCTTCCGAGGAGTGGCTGGTGGGTTTGAACCGCCAGCCTTCTGATTAGCAGAAGGGCACTACGCTACCAGAGCTCCTATGACAAGACATAGAAGAGCCTTAAATGTAGATTGCTAAGTGAAAGACTAAGCCAAAACCAAACCTTTTGCCGTTGAGTTCATTCTGACTCATGGCAATCCCTGGTGTTACAGAGTAAAACTGCTTCATAGAGTATTCTTGGCTATAATCTATACAGAAGCAGACTGCCAGCACCACTGAGTGGGTTCAAACTGGCAACTTTGTGCTACCTGGGGACCACAAGTGAAAGAAGCCAGTCTGGAGAAGCTATGTATTGTATGATTGCAACTATATGACTTTCTGAAAAAGGCCAATCTATAGAGATAGTAAAAAGATCAGTGGTTTCCAGGAGTTCAGGGAGAAGGCAGGAAGGATGATGAGTGGTGCTGTAATGGTGGGCACATGACATAATGTACCTATCAAAACCCATTGGACTGTACAACACAAAGAGTGAGCCCTAGGTTAACTATGAGACTTTAGTTCATAATAATGTGTCAGTGTTTGTTAAATGGTTATAACTAATGTATCATGAAGGAGCTCTGGTAGCATAGTGGCTAAAGCACTTGACTGCTAACCAGAAGGCTGGAGGTTCAAACCCACCAGCCACTCCTCGGAAGGAAGGTTGGGCAATCCTACTTCCGTAGTGCCTCGGAAACCCAAGGAGGGGTTGCTATGAGTTGGGACCGACTCGACGGCACATAACAACAACAACAACAACAACGTACCATGAGAATATAAGATATTCTTAATAGGATAAATTGTTTGGGCAGGAGAGAGAGTAAATGGAACTCTACTTTCTATACAGTTTTTCTATAAAATTAAAACTGTTCTAAAAGCAGTTTATTTAAAAAAAAACAAAACATTATAGAAAAGTACAGCTATCATAAGAAACACCCACCAGCACCCAGAATAAAAAATGAGAGCATTCCAAGTACCTCAGAAGTCCCATTTATGTTCCCTTCTGCTAACTCCCACCTTCCACTCCTTGAGGTAACTGTTGTTCTGGCTATGGGTGGCATGGATTAGTTTCATCTAATATGTAGTATATTTTCTATGTCTGTCCTCTTCATTCATCATTATGTTGGTGAGATTCATTTAAATTGTTCTCTGTAGCTGTAGCTCATTCTTTCTCATGGCTGCATAATATTTCATTGTATGAACATACCACTATTTATCCATTCTAATAACGATGGTCATAACTTAAAAATTTTTAACATGTGTGCTTGATTTAAAAAGTCTAAGGTTTATCAGTATCTCCTTCCTAAACAATAGGAGGACCTTGGAAATCTTTAACTTTGATTATCTTCTCTTTTCTTATTTGTAATTATCATTTATTATTTTAATTCCTTCTTATTCTTAATCTTCTAAAGAATTAAATTAGACTTTCTCATTAATATTGTTCCATATAGATAATGGGGTGCTTTGGTGGCATAGTGCCTAAGGCATTTGACTGCTAACCAGAAGGCTGGCAGTTCAAAACCACCAGCCACTCCTTGGAAGGAAGATTGGGCAATCCTACTTCCATAGTGATACCGCCTTGGAAACCCAAGGAGGGGTCGCTATGAGTCGGATCCGACTTGATGGCAGTGAGTTTGGAGATTTACTACGCTTGCTGTTTTTTTGCTCACCATCGCTACCTCTCATTCTTTCCTTCTGGATTCAGTTTCCTTCTTCCTGTAGTATACTCATTAACCCACTGCCATCGAACTGATTCTGCTCATAGTGACTGTATAGGACAGAGTAGAGCTGCCCCGTAGGATTTCCAAGGCTATAAATCTTTATGGAAGGAGACTGTGTCATCTTTCTCTTGTGGAATGGCTGGTGGGTTTGAACCAGCAACCTTTTGGTTAGCAGCCCGATGCTGTAACCACTACCCCACCAAAGCTCCTTAGTACACCTATTGATGTTGTTGTTAGGTGCCGTTGAGTCGGCTCTGACTCATAGTGGCCCCAACAACAGAACTAACCACTGCCCAGTCCTGTACCATCCTCCCGGTCCTTGCTATGCTTGAGCCCGTCGTAGTAGCCGTTGTATCAGTCCATCTTGTGGAGAGTAGTCTCCTTTTCCCTGATCCTCTACTTTAGGATAGCAAGGCTGATATCCTTCTTTAGGGATTGCTCCCTTCTGACCACATGACGAAAGGTGAGAGGAAGTCTGGCCATTTTCGCTTCCAAGGAGCATTTTGGCTGCACTTCTTCCAGGACAGATTTGTTCATTCTGGCAGTCAATGGTATTTTATCCATTAGTATTTATTAACATGTACCAAAAAAAAAACCAAACCCATTGCCAGTGAGTTGATTCTGACTCATAAGGATCCTGTAGACCAGAGTAGAACTGCCCCATCAGGTTGCCAAGACTGCTGTCTTTATGGTAGTAAACTGCCACATCTTTCTCCACAGAGTGACTGATGGGTTCAAAATGTGACCTTTCAGTTAGCATCCGGGCACTTAAGTAATGTTGCACCAGGGCTCCTTATTAAAGTGAAGGCCTGTTAGTTTCTATTCTTCTGAAAATAACTTTAGCTCACGTTTACTATTAAATAATAGTCTAGTTGGGTATATATGGTAGATTGGCTCTTTTTTTACTCTATTAACATTTGAAGATGATATTTCCCTTGTTTCTGGCTCCTCTTGTTGTTTGTTCTAGGAAAGTATGCTATAATTTCAAAGTTTGATCTTTTATGGATCATTTGTCTTTTCTCTTTGATTATTTTAAAGATTTTTTTTGTCCTTGGTTTTCTGTGTTCACAAGATAACTAGATATGGATTTAATTTCATTATTTTATTTGGAACATATATTTCTGAATCTGAAGATTCATGTCTTTTATCACTTCTGAGAAATTCTGAGCTATTAGCTTGTTATCCTAAGAGCAGTGGAGTTCCAAGCAGGAGAGACACAAGCAGATAATGTTTACAATAAAAATTCCTCTGCTGCCTCCTGGTTGGTTCCTTTGGGCAAAACATTTAAATGGCTTGTGCCTCAGATTTCTCATCTATAGAGTGAGGACAATAATGATCACTATTCTTCCCACTCAAGATAGCTGACTTGAATATTAAATGAGATAATGAACTTGAAATTGCATTACACATTATAATATGCTACACAAATAGCACAAGATCCAACTTGTTGTAGATATACAATAAAATTTGTTTAGTTAATCTTAATAAATGTTTGTTAAATGTTCAGTGAATAACAAGTATAAGATAATATTATTTCACTGTTCTTATTTTTATTCTCCTTCCCCCAGTCCTCTACCATAAAGAAATGCAAGAATGTTTGTGTAGTCATGGGAGTGATCTATGTTATAGAACATACGTGAAAAATCACTACAACTGTTTAAACATGTTCTAATTTTATTTAGCTCCTGATGCTGCTGATTTTCTTACAAATAAGCCATTGTTGTTGATTTTCTAAAATATAAGTGGAAGGAAGACTGGGCAATCTACTCTAAGGATTTACTGCCTCAGAAACCCAAAGTGGGTCACTGTGAGTCAGAATCAACTCAATGGCAGTGAGGGTTTTTTTTTTTTTTTTTGGTAAGGTTTAATGTCTCTACACTGCTTACCTTTTGTCCAGGTACTTTGCATATCCTTGTTCTACTATTCATTTTTAAATGAATACATTTCCTGTCTCTCCAATTAGATTATACTGTCTAGTGGAAAGTTTATGGCTTTAAAATTAGACAGTTAGAGCTGGGACCATATCCTGGCTTTTGCATCTCCTGACCTTGTGATTTTAGGCAAGTCGCTCTACCTTTCTCGTATTCTGTTTATTTTTCTGAAAATTAAGTAATTAATTCATTGTGGAGCATCTGCCATATAGAGGATATTCTTTTATGTATTTGAGTAACTTAGTTTGTATCTTTGTAGCATCTTTGCAATGTAGGTATTATCCCTGTTTTACAAGTATGGAACCTGATAGAAATGTAGAGTAACTTGCTTAAGATCATAAAGCTAGTACCCATCATAGCCAAGATTTAAACCTGGGATGTCTGATTGCAAAGCCTGTGCCTTCGTCAATATTTGTTTCTCATAGTGCTTGGTACCTAGTTGACACTCAGTAAATGTAGGCTTTTTTTTAGGGCAGTGATAATGTTCTATAATTTTGCCCTGTACACAGTAGGCCACTACATAACTAATTGCTTATTGTCTCTATTTTAGCTGCTGGTTTTTTATTCACTAAATGTTGACTTTCTAGCCAAAGGGAAAGGACAGTCCCAAACCAGAGTGAATATTAACACTACCTTGGTTGAGGATATAATCAACTTGGAAGAGGTGGATGAAGAAATGAAGTCTGTGACAGAAGCACTCAAAGATAATTTCAATAAGACTCTCAATATAAGGACCTCACCAGGTTAGTGACGGAACCAGTGTTTTGGGGAGGGGCAGAGTGGGAAGAGCATGGCTTTGGCAGAGCTATGTTTTGGTTCTAGCTTTGCCACTTACTAACTGGTGACCATGGGTGGTTGCTTTACTTTTCTGATCCTCAGTTTCCATGTCTGAAAATGGGGATATAGTACTAACTCATAGCTTTGGGCCATTAAGTTAAGTGAGGTGATTATGTAAAAGGTCTCGTACAGTGCCTAGCATATAGTTAACACTACGTTTAACAAATATTTGTCTCCTATAAACTAGGCCTTGTGTGCTACTGCACAGTGGTGCACAAAACCAGGTATGTTTTTTATTCCCATGGAATTAACCTTTGAAAAAGTGGGAACTATTATTATGAATGTGCTATTGTAATAATGGTGTGGGGACAGTGGCTGGCCGCCTCTAACTTCACAAAGGAGAAGAAGAATAAACATCAGCTGCCCAAGGTTGTTTCCTTTGAGGTGAAGGTCAGACATGCCTCCACCCTCCAAGCTTCTTACCAATTCTTATACCAACCATCCCTCCCACGGCGCTCTCTTTTTTCTCCTGTGTGCGATAATGCATTGCAGTGGCCACACACAACTCACAGATGATACTCACGAGTATGGAGTTTATTCGGGAAGTAACGGTTATAATTCAGAATCAGAAATGACTCAGGGTGCTGTTGTTTGGTGAGGACAGCTTCTTCTTCTCAGCCATGCCTGCAGGCATACCTCTCTCTGGGCCTTGGCGTCTTGGCTGTCTTGGGCACGTGTTACAAAACTCTTTAGCTCCAGCAGTAAGTGCCCAGAGACACCCTGCTCCACTATCAAGCTTCCTGCCCAAAGGTGCTCAGCTTTCTTGCGCCATGGGCCAGGAAGCCCACTGCGCCATTTCTTGCTGGTATGGCTCTGCTGCTGCTGTTGCTCTGCTGCTGCCTCTCACCCTCTTGCTGTCTCTGGTATTGCAGCTACCTTTCTCTGTCTCCTTGGTCTGAGAGGTTCTCAGCACAGGGATTCTGGGTACAAAGAACACGTTTTACTCCTGGCTCTTCTTTGTGGTGGTTGTGAGGTCTCCCCCCTGCTCTGGAATTGCCTGTTTTTTAAGCCTAGCGGGATGGCGAAACTGACCAATCCTCTTGTTAGAGTTCCATACACCTTATTGGTGCTGTGCACTGTATTTACATTATTAGCAAGCTAGTCAGTCCTTTTGGTGGGCCACAAGCACTTCATTTACATAGTCCCACCCTGTCCATTGGTGGGAATTACAAGACTATGGCCAGAGGAGCCATATTAAGTTAATTCACTACACTGCAACTGTAAATACCTCTAGAAAGTATGTATCACAGTAGCTGCCATCTTTGATCTGACTTTTCTAATTTCTCCCGTTTGATAGTCCTTATCCCTTATTGAAGAAGCTCTGGAGGCACGGTGGGTAAAGCATTTGGCTGGTAACCAAAAGGTCGGCAGTTTGAACCCAGCAGCCACTCCGCAGAGAAAGAGGTGGCAGTGGGCTCCCATAATGATTTACAGTTTTGGAAACACTATGGGGGTGGGGTTCTACTCTGTCTTGTTGGGTCATAGTGAATCAGAATTGACTTGATGGCAGTGGGTTTGGTTTGGTTTTTGGTTTGTGTTGAGGTATAATCTATATTGAAGTCTGTAGTCTTTGATCTTCATCATTAAAAGCCAAATCCTCTTCACTTTGAGCAAGCAAGGTTGTGACATCTGCATATCACATGTTAATGAGTTTTCCTCTGATCCTGGTACTACTCTGTTCGTCATGTAGTCTAGCTTCTTGGATTATTTGCTTGGCATACAGATTGAGTAAGTATGGTAAAAGGGTACAATCTTGACTCATAGCTTTCTTCATTTTAAACCCTGCAGTATCCCCTTGTCCTGTTTGAACAACTGCCTCTTGGTTTATGTACTGTTCCTCACAGCACAATTAAGTGTTCTGGAATTCCCATTATTTCCAATGTTATCCATAATCAGTTATGATCTACACAGTCAAATACCTTTGTGTATGCAACAAAACACAGGTAAACATCTTTCTGGAAACCTTTCTGCAAATCAGTGGCTGCAAACCTGCCCAGCTGAGGCAATTCTGTATCCCTGAGCTTGACCAGGAAGATTCCGTTTGGGTTAATAACTTCCTGAAAGTGGCTTTCCTAAGTGGGAAATGTCAGAACTGTCTAGGAGAACTGTTTGCAGATGTGATGGAGAAGTAAGTTGTCAGCTAATGGTGCAGGCAGGCAGGAAAAATCCAATTGCTGTTAAATTGGCCTTTTGGAAATTGTCATCATCCTAGAGTCGAGCCTAAGACCCCCTCTGAAGGTGTTCTGTGGGAGTGTGGGCTATTTCCATTTGCATCTTAGTTGAGATAGTTTATAAGGAAACTGAAAAATATGTCATGAACTTGTTTTTAAGAAAACCAAGTGGAAAGTATACAGCTCCATCTATAAATACCATCAGAAGCATGCTGAATTCAGAGATGAGATCCATTGTGAAACTACAGACCAGTCCCGTTATTTGTCAGCCTTTGGGGCAGTTCTGCCTTTGCTGACAGTAGAGCGTGCTATTCAATCTCTCCCAACTGTTTATTTTAAACTTGCTTATTATTTTAGGTATGAAACTGATAAAGTGCTCTGTCTCCCTTGTGCTTTCTGGCCTGTTAACATTCTGCAGCCGAAACCAGAGAGCAGTTTGAGAGTTGCTCAGGGAGAAATGTGATACTTAAAATTAGCCAGCAAGCTCCACTCTTGTTGAACTTAAAAAGATGATGGGCCTGGAAAGAGGTTGGGAGTGTAATTTGTTAAATGTTAACCTTTGAGAAAATGAGGGGCAAGAATAAGGCTGAAGGAGATTCTCGCTGGGGACAGATTGGGGGAAAAGGATTTGATGCATTATGTCGATACGGATTTGGGGAATGGGAACCACCACAATTGCATTCTAAAAAGCCCACGATGGGACTTCTGTGGCAAAGGATCTTATGGCAAATCAGGAAGGCTGAATTAAGATCCTTTTCTAAAGGCCTCCCATTGGTATTTCCTCTCTGCTTCTTTCTTTTCGGGGTTATGTTTGTGTAACATTCTGTGTAGACTTTAGGGCCAGGAAGAGACTGGGTAAAACAGACTGAACTTAGCCAATCTCTCTCCCCGCCCCCCCTTCTTCTAAATCATCTTTCATTACCATCTGAATGGTAGCAGGCACTTTTCCTCTTGTACCAGGAGTGATTGTTATCTCCAAGATAGCTGACTCTTTTAAACAGTTGTCTAAGTTACAGATTTGCTCATTTGTTCATTCTTGTCCTCTCTCTTATCCATTCATCTATCCCCCCATTTATTCATTCAAGCATTATTGAGCACTTATTTTGTTCTGATTAGCTATTAATAGGTGCTGTGGTGGCATTGATTGTGCAGTGGTTAAGGCATTTGGCTGCTAACCAGAAGGTTAGCAGTTCAAACCCACCAACAGCTCTGTAGGAGGAAGATGAGGCAATCTACTTATGTAAAGATTTACAGCCTTGGAAACCCAGTGGGAGTCACTAGGAGTCAGAATCGACTTGATGGCAGTGGAATGGTGGTGTAGTGGTTAAAGCCTTCGGCTACTAACCAGAAAGTCAGTGGTTCAAACCTACCAGCCACTGTTCAGGAGAAAGATGAGGCATTTTGTTTCTGCAAAGATTTGTAGCCTTGGGAACCCAGTGGAGGTCGCTATGAGTTGGAATAGACTTGATGGCAGTGAGTTTTGAGAGTATGGAAAACCTATGGGGTAGTTGTAATCTGTCTTATAGGGTTGCTATGAGTTGGAACCAACTTGATAGTAGTGGGTTTTGGGTATGGTAGGATCAGGAGCCCTGCTGGTGTGGTGGTTAAAGCACTCTGCTGCTAAATGAAAGATCGGTGTTTCAAACCTACCAGCTGCCCCAAGGGAGAAAAATGTGGCAGGCTGCTTCTGAAAGATTTACAGCCTTGGAAACCCTATGGGCCAGTGCTCTCTGTCCTATAGTGTTGCTGTGAGTTGGCATTGACTCGGTGGCCATGAATTATGGTAGGTCACTATGAGTCATAATTAATATGATGGCACACAGCAGCAGCAAAGGATGCCGAAAGAAAAACATTGTTCCATTTTCTAGGAGCCTAGAGCCTAATGTGAAAGGATGGACAAGTAAACCAACATGTATAAAACCATCCAGCAAAGTAGTGTGTGGTGAAGACCATGGCTTTGGAGTCAGTCAGACCTAAATTTGAATTCAGGCTCCATTATTAAGAGCTGTTGTGACCTTGGGCAAGTTACTGTCTATGCCTCAGTTCCTCATCTGTAAAATGGGACAAATAATAACAATTGTGTAACAAGGTTATTGACAGTGAGAACAAAGAAAGCATTTGGTACAATTTCTGGCTCATAGGAAAAAACAACCAAACTCACTGCCATCGAGTCGGTTCCGACTCATAGCGACCCTTCCTTGGGTTTCCGAGGCAGTATCTCTACAGAAGTAGATCGCCCAGTCTTCCTTCTGAGGAATGGCTGGTGGGTTTGAACCACCAGGCTTCTGGTTAGCAGTCAAATGCCTTAGGCACTACAGAAGTGCTCAGTAAA